GATATCAAGAATGTGTTCCTTTATGGTGATCTTCAGGAGGAAGTGTATGTGGAGCAACCATCCAGTTTTGTTGCTCAGGGGGAGTATGGGAAAGTCTGTCATTTGAAGAAGTCCTTGCATGGCTTAAAGTAGAGTCCACGAGCTTGGTTTGGCAAGTTCAGTAAGTTAGTTCAGGAGTTTGGGTTGAAAATGAGTAAGTGCGATCACTCAATCTTCTATCGGAAATTAGTAGCTGGCACTATTCTCCTTGTTGTATATGTTGATGATATTGTTATCACAGGAAGTGACTATGCTGGGATTTCTTCCCTCAGGTCTTTTCTGCATACTAGGTTTCATACAAATGACTTGGGCCAGTTGAAATACTTTTTGAGAGTAGAAGTAAATAGAAGCAAGAAGGGAATTCTTTTGTCTCAGAGAAAGTACATTCTTGTCTTACTTGCAGAAACTGGAAAGTTGGCAGTTAAACCTTGCAGTACTCCAATGGTTCCTAATGTGCATCTTATGAAAGATGATGGTAATCCTTTTGACGATCTAAAGAGATACAGGAGGTTAGTTGGGAAATTAAATTACCTTACTGTGACTCGTCCAGATATTGCTTTTGCGGTAAGTGTTGTTAGCCAGTTCATGTCTGCACCAATGGCCAAATATTGGGCAGCTTTTGAATAGATTTTGTGTTATGTTGACATACAAGTTGTCTAGCACATGTATATACATGTAGTACATCATAGCTAGTACATGTATATGAGTTGTATAGTAGGTGTAATACAAGTTGTGTAGCACATGTATACACATGTACTACATCATAGCTAGCACATGTATATGAGTTGTATAGTAGGTGTAATTAGGTGTATGACAACTAATAGATTAGGTGAATTAGTATTATAAATAGGCCTTGTAATCTTCTCTTCTAGATATGAAATATAGAACTTCTTTGGTTTCTAACATGGTATCAGAGCATTGAAGTTTTTTCATCAGTATGTTGTTGGGAATTTTTTTTCCCCGTTCGAATTATTTTTGTTCAGAACAGTCTTTTGCTGCATTGATTCTATTTCACTATTTTCGGCCATTTTTTGCCCCGGCCGCTTCTTTACAGATTTTTCTACTCACTATTCCGACCAAAGTGGTACTGTCTGAATTTTTTTTTTCCTGACAACTTTTATTTTCCAAGATCACTGTTCAGGTACTGTTCACTGTACTGTTCAATGTTCAAATATTACTATTTACTGTTCACTGTACTGTTCAAATATCACTGTTCACTATTCACTGCACTGTTCAAATTTCACTGCACTGTTCTTGACTATTTGATTATGCTATTATTCGGGTGCAAGATGACTGAAACGAAACCTACCGTTGATGTCATTCCGGTTATGTCCAAAATTACGGAGAATAAGTTCATGGGTTCCAATTACATGGATTGGAGTAAGACGATCCGTCTCTATTTGCGGAGCATCGACAAAGAGAACCACTTGGTTGATGATCCACCCAAGGATGAGACTAAATCAGTCTGGTTAAAGGAGGATGCAAAATTGTTTCTCCAAATCAAGAATTCGATGCACAGTGAGGTAAATGATCTAGTTTCTCATTGTGATTATGTGAAGGATCTAATGGATTATTTAGATTTTTTGTACTCTGGCAAAGGAAACTTGTCTCGCATGTATGATGTGTGCCAGGCATTTTACCATCCATCCATGCAAGATCGCTCTCTCACCACTTACTTCTCAGAGTTTAAGAAGGTGTATGATGAGCTTAATGTTATATTGCCGTTTAGTCCAGATGTGAAGGTACAACAGGCTCAGCGTGAACAACTGGCGGTCATGAGTTTCCTTTCTGGTCTTTCTCCCGAATTTGAAGGGGCCAAATCGCAGATTTTATCTGGGACTGCTATCTCTTCCTTGAAAGAGGCCTTTACAAGAGTGTTGCGTACTAAAAAGTCTCATCCAGGTCCGATAACCACGATCGATAGTGGTGCTCTGCTTAGCCGCGTCCAAAAGGATAGGAGTCATAGTAATCGCAANATCGGAGTAGCGATAGTCGAGACCTAAAGCAAGGGGAAGTTGAATGTTTTTATTGTCATGAGCTCGGTCATACTATACGTTATTGTGTGAAGCTTCAGAATAAGAACAAAAGATCTCAGTATGCCAACATTGCCACTTTCGAGACTATTTCACCATTTCAGTCATCATCTCCTCCTATCAATACTATCCCCGAGTCAGGTAAAACCACTAAGTGTCTCCT